AATAAATTTTAATTATAAAAAATGAATAGATGAATTATTAAAAGTTTATATAAATATAATATAAAAAACTTGTGTGTAAATAAGTTTTTACTATTTTTTTAAGTAAAAAAGATAATTATTTTTAATAAATGTGAATAAATTTTAATTATAAAAAATGAATAGATGAATTATTAAAATTTTATATAAATATAATATAAAAAACTTGTGTGTAAATAAGTTTTTACTTTTTTTTTTTTAATAATGAAGAATTTGGGGATAGCCTATGAGTTAAAAAGACAATATTCTTTGTAGCAAGGCTAAAAGAAACAATTAATTATTGCAGTTGTAAAACTCATTTTTTTGATTCAGAGTACTGATTTCTGCATATAACTCCTTGATTTTAGTTCCGGTACTATACAAATTTCATCTGGTAAGCGTGGTGATTGGACTTCTATGTTGGCTACCTTGTTGGTTACCTGGTAAGCAAGAGCGTCAACTCATTAGACTCTTTTCTCTCCCATTTTTTTTTTTTTTTCTTCTTTCATTTTTATTGAAAATGTATTTTGAAAATCGATACTTAAAGTCCTTTAAAGATAACAAGATGAGATTATAGGAAGAAAGTAATCACAAAAGGTTTTGGAACCTTGGTGGAAGATTCTGAAACCGAGGAGAAGAAAAAGGGTTAGAAAGCTAAAAGGTTTAAGAACTTATGAGGAAGTTTTGAAACTTAATGTTGAAGGACAGTGTTTTAACGAGATGTCAACTTTTTATTGATGGATATCATCTTATTCTTGTTACGAAACACCCTAAACACAAGACTATGTTTGAAAGAGTCACCAAAAGAGAGAGACATTGAAGAGACATTTACTGTGTAAGAAATTAAGTGTAAATCTTTATTGAAGTGAGAAACAGAGTGTTCGAGAGGTGAAAATATGTTGTGAGGAAGTGTTCACCGCCGAGAGAGGGGGGGGGGTGGTTGTGAGGATTTTTTTAGAGATATTGAGTGAGGGTAGGTGAGATCAGTTGAGAATCTATTGGTAAGGGGATCGTCTTCAAATTGATGTATACTTGATTACAATGGATTCTCACATTTTCCATGGTTTTTCTTCCTCATCTTAGGGTTTTTCATCTAAGTTGATATGTTGGTTCACTTGGGCATTTGATTTTTATATTGTTCTCTTGTTTCTGTTGTATTTGCGTTGCATATATTGGATCTGTGTTAGAATCCCCGACAATATTCGTGCTATATCTTGATTTTTTTTTTTTTATCAGCTATCTTGATTTTTATTTGTAAAAGAATAAACCAAATATGTCTTTTTTTTTTAAAGAATCTTAAATTGCATAAAGGAATACAAATTTCTTCTATTACTTAATCTACTCCATTTGTATGTTATACAATTCAAATTTAAATCATTTTATTTTTACTGGATATTATTATTGAATTATTTGGATTATTAACATATATATATATATTAATTGCCAAAGCAAATGTATATTATTTAAAGTTGATGGATGTGTGTTTTTGTTTTTATTTTGTAATTTGAATTGACTTTTCTTTTTGTTCGTGTCATATGATTAAAGGAAATTTTTTTGTTTTTGCTAAAGATCATAGAAAGACAATCAATTACTGCAACTTTGAATCTTTTTATTTTTGAATATTAAATATAATTCATTCATTGCAATAGCATTCGGCTAATGGATCTAGTGTTGTTGTTGTGTTTTTTTTTTTTATCGGCAGTCAGAATGGAGGGATTAGGCATGCTGGTTGAGTTGTTCTTATTATTCATTGGTAAGGAATGACTTCAACTCAATTAGCCTTTCTTTTCTTCTCTTTTTTTCCCTTTTTTTTTTTAACCGCTATATATTGATTCTTATTTGTAATATTAAAAAAAAAATTGAAAAAAAAATATTTTTTTTATCAACATCTAATCCTCTTATTGACTGTACTTGAAATCCTTAATTTTATCATGAAATTCAGAACAATGGTTGGTTGTTTAAGCAGAAGAATTAAGCAAATATATGATCTAATTCAGTAGATGTATCTGTTGATCTTGCTTTTTGTTTTACAATATTTTACAATATTGATTAAGTTCATTTTTTATTTTGTATAATGAATAAGAACTTAATCAAATTAACACTGGTTAACTTAAAAAATCTTATTTAAGTCAACACAACAGAAGATTACTTTGGATATAAATAAATCAAAGGCAATGAATTAGTATTAACATTATGATGAAGTTCATTCCTTCTCTTAATATAACTCAATTATTGCAGTTCCGCTACTCAAACTAGATCTACTATACGTATTGATTGGAGTTCCTTTATTGACACTTGGTAAGCAATTACTACCACTCAGTTATTATACTTTATATTAATTCGTTTTCCCTTCATTGTGGATGTGTATGTTCATAATTTGAATTAAGTTCAGTTTTTGTTTCGCATTAAAAGGAAATCTTTTTTGCTAAATATCATATAAAGGCAATCAAGGATTGCAGTTATGAAGGTCTATCTTTTTAAATGCTTGATATAACTTAATTTATTGCAGTGCCATCAGACAAGCCAGGTCTATTTTGGACTCTGTTAGCAGCGTTTATATTTTTACTTGGTAAGCAATATCGTCCACTCCACTAGCTCTACTCTTTCCTTTGTTTTGTCTTATATTTTAATGGGAAAAGGAAAAAGTGAGAAGTTTTGTTATTAAAAATAACAAAATTTTCAATAATAATTACATGTTAAATTTAATAAAATTAAAATTTATATTATATTTAATTTATTTAATGACTGTAATTAGATGTCTAAATATTTTAAATATTAGAACATTCTGATTTCTCTCTCTCTTTTTTCAAAATATTTTTAGAAATAAGTAAAAGTAACAAAATTCATTGAAATTTCTTGTTTACTCTTATTGATGGTGGAAGTTTGAATGCATTTTTTGTTCAATAATTAATAATAGTCATAAAATTGAAAAAGAAGATTTTAATACTCTTTAAAAGAGAAATTGACTAGTATAAATTGGATTACCTCTTTTTAAAAAGTGTAATGATTTATGGGTAATCTATTTGTATAATTTTTATTTATAATTTTTATTGTTTATTAAATAAGTTAATATGTAGAATATAAAAATTTTTAATAAAATAAAAAAATTGATCATTATATGATATGTAAGGTTATATAAAAATATTATTAAAAAAATTTTTCTTGGTCATTTTATTTTTTAAATTATGACAACTAAAATGGATTTAAGATAGTAAAAAATTGCAAGAATTTAAAATGGAGAGATAGTCGGAGAGAAAAGGGAAAGTAAGGGCATAATGATATTAAAAATGTTAGAATGTCTAATTATAATTATTAAATATATGTGGTATATTTTAGGCTTTAACTTTATTAAATTTATCATGTAGTTATTATTAGATATTTTGATATTTATAATATTAAGACGTCTTGATTTTTCTTTTTTAATAAAAAAATTATTTTTTGTTAAAAAATTTGTTTACCCTATACTTTTATGATACGAGTTAAGAATATATTAAATATAACTTTTTGTTATAAATTTATATTGAAAAATAAAAGTCAACTTTTAATTAATTTATCGATTATTTAATTAAATTTACTCATGTATCAACACTAAAATTAATATAAATTTTTACATTTTTTAATATTTACCTATAATAAAGAGATGCTCTTAACTTATGCCCTAGAATATATGTTAGAAAAACCATTTCTTAAAACCTCACAAATATCCTCTTGCATTACTTGTTGGGTTTTTTAAATTTATACTCATCTTCTTATCATTAATATATATAAAAAATATAAAAAAAATAATATTAATGTTAAATAAATAAATTTAATTTAATAATTAATAAATTAAAAATTAATTTTTATTTTTTAAATAAATTTATATTAAAAATATATATTTATTTTATTTTTAATTTATATCAAAATTAATAATTTTTTAATAAATATATTATGCAACATATTAAATTAAAGAATATACCAAATAGTATCTAAGGATTAATATGTAAATGAGGTTTAGTGTTTCATTTTTTCAACATAAAATATGTTTAAGTTTGTAAAAGGATTAATATACTAATATGCAAGTTGATCGTTGCCTTTTTTTTTTTTTTTTTTGTCATAAATTTTGCTCCCAATGGATAACTTTATAAAGAAAAATTACACATGACATCCAAGGCATGACGGGCAGAGTCACGAAGGCATAAACATACTCTCTATTTCCGGCAATGCATATTAAGATTTGGCATATAACTAATTCGTCCCATAATACCAGAAAACTGTAACAGTTTGATTGTAGTAGTTCACATAACAACAGCTTCGGTTTAACATAACTTCACAGTCTAATTCTGATATTTCACCAGTTCTTAAATTTCATAGCGAAACAAAGCTTAAAGGCCAGGGCACAGTCTCTTATAATTACATATGTTGTAGTAGAAATTTAATACAAAAACACTAATTTAAACAAACTGTTAGTTTAACATAGAACTCATTTTAGTTGCAATTTGAAGAACATTATCAGAATTACCAACGTACTAGTTAAGTAACTAATTTTGGGTAGATTACTGCTGTCTTACCAAGCTGCAGCTGGGGGTGGGCAGAATTCGGGGGCCCGATTTTTGGCGGGGTTTAAACCAAATATTTGGGTTCATGTTTTTTAAACTCGGTTCAGCTGAGAAACCGAGGCCCATTCTTTTGGGCTAGGCTGCAGAGGCCCAATACACAGAAACCCTTATGGTTCTCCTGCAAATTAAAACCCATTTAACGATTTTTATTTTATAATTTTTATTTGAAATTTTTATAATCCAAAATGGCAATTTTAAATTCAGCCCGCCTCATTTGGGCCAAAATTAAATTTTGTTCTTTTCCACTCCCTTTGAACTTTGACTTTCCATTTGTGTGTATATATATACATAGGGATTAGTGTTTATCTGTCTTATTTTCAAAAAATTAGGAGGAAAAAAAATAAAAATCACCTTAATGCATATTTTAAAAATAAGGTAGTTTAGATTTTTTCAATAAAAATTTATTGAAACGATGTAGTTTTGAGATGATTTCTCTCCTAATCTTTGGGAGGTAAGGTTGATAGATACTATTTTCATATACATATTAGCAAAATTCTATAATATCATGTTATGTTTATTAGCTTATCATTTCATTATGTTATTATATGATTAATTTTTTAATTTAAAATTTACTTAAATATCACATATATAAATATATTTATTTAATATTATATCATAATTATAAATTTATAATTTTACATTAATTTTATTGTTCTTTTATGGGATGTTGTTTCCTTTCTTAATTTGTTTTTGGTAACATTCCTTTACGGTGAATCCTTCATAGTTTCTATCTGAATTCACTAAAGAGTCTGAAATTCGTTCTTAATGAAAATGCTCTTATTGTTCCCTTATTCTTATGTGTATAATTTTTTAATAAAAGTAATATAAAAAAGTGATATAAAAAACTTATTCTTATATCTATCACCGATCCAGTAGTGTACCCTTCACAATCTTCTTTCTCGCTCAACTCAAGCTATGCTTGCCTGTCATCAAAATAGTTTATGAATGATGACAATTTTGTAATTTTCGTTTGTTCTTGGGGCATTTGGTTATGAAAACCCTATGAAAAAGGAGAACAGAATCTAGATTAGGCAAAATTGTACCCAGTCAGTGAATCTATTCTATAAGCAAGTATGGTTAATGAGTTTTTGACCCGCAACCTGTTTAAGACCTATTTTTTGACCCATTTAAGTCTCGGGTTAACCCGCAAGAAATTTTTATATATATAGTAAGCATAATATTTATTACTTTTTAGGAATGAAGAAAAAAATAGAAAGTCAAGTATTAAAATATTAAAATATTAAAAATAATAATAAAAATGCTAACATCCTTTAATGAATTAACATTCACGATTTTTTTTTAAAAAAAAATTAATGATTAAATCTTTCCAAAACAAATAGAACGGTAGATTCATCACAAAACCCTAATTAGAAGCAAGAAGGAACGCATTGCGAGAGAAGAATGAGTTGGAGGGATGAATCAGATCAGATGATGTTTGCTTTGAATTAGAACTCGATCGCAAGGAAAGAAAGAAGGAACACAGCGCCCCTTCTTTCTCTCTTGCGCTATGTTGTTTTTTC